CATTGGTATTCAGTCCCTTTGACTGAAACCTTGAATAAAAAAAAATTGAGGTGCATTTTTAGTAAAGTGTGATTTAATTTCAGTATATCATAAACCCAGCAGTTCATAAACACCAACAAACGCAGCAGACAGACCTGGAAGCTGTGGACATCCATGTCATGTTGTAAAACACTAACCCAAGATTTGATTCATATTAGGGCTGTTTGATAAAATAGAAATCATATTGGATCGATATAGATAATTACCAATTAATTTAAAACTTATAATTTAACCCATCCCCTTTAGGAGTAGTAGGCTACCATCGTGCGGCGCCCTGGGAGCTGTGTGGGGTTAAGGGTCTTGCTCAGAGACCCAGAGTGGGAGTCTGTGGGAATGGAGCACTAACCCAGAACTTCAGGATTCCAAGTGCCCTAGTGCAGCGGTCGGCAACCCAAACTGCTCAAGGAGCCATATTGGACCAAAAAACAAAAAATAAATCTGTCTGGAGCCGCAAAAATGTAAAAGACTTATATATGCCTCTTATGGCAACACGGGCTCTAAGTGTATTATCCCACCATAGAAATGGACTATGTGGGCTTAAATATATAATAAGAATTCAAGATTAAATGTTTATCCTGGAGCAAATGTCACATAGCAGGATGAGGTGATGGACGAGCACTGAACGCTCCCATCGCACGCCGCTTCATTGTGCGCCACTTCACCGCCCTTCACGGTGCGGTTGTTGCATTGATGAAATTATAGAAACACAATAAATGAATCTTTCTATGGTGGACGTGTTTCTGTTGGGAGTAGTTGATTGAGTCATGAGGAACCAAGAAGGAACTGACATCCATCAGAGCAGAGCTCTCTAACCCTGAAATCCGACATCCTCCATCACCATCGTTCCTTGGTGTGATTTATATTTTTAGGATTTGGGAAAAAAATAGAAGAAACTTCCCATACCTGCATCAGAGCGCTACCTGTTGGATCTATGGATTTTCCATCCTTGCAACCAAACTACCATCAGTTGTGGAATTTGGAGATGCAATTGGAGATGTTATTGAATATTGTTCAGCCCTAATTCATAGCTATCAATAGACAACCCTCAACATAAGACAACTGGCCAGGAAAACTGGGTATTAATTGCTTTTTAAGATTTCAAGCCCTATGCCCTAACCACTTGGCTGCAACTACCCAGAAAAACTTGCAGGTATAATAAACTGCGGTTTATTATACCTTATACCTAGGAAGGCTGAATATAAATGTTTACAATAATTCTTAAGTTTTTTATATGACTAAAATAAATATTCCAAAGCCCCGTGTCCATTTTCTTTGATTTTACAATTAAGCAATGCTTTGTGTTTGTGCAATGCACAAAATTCCAATAAGATACACTTAAATTTGTGATTGAAAAATAAAAACATTGAAGTGTGCCGGTGGTTGCCCAGGTGACTGTAGTTTAAAAGCCTTGAATCATTTCTTTACAGTTCAAGCACTCAGTGAGTCATATGTTTGGCCTTGCTAAAGAAAACACTGGCTATTTACTCCAATCAACTGCTGGTTCAAAACATCAAAAGGAGGAAGTAGGCTTTATGAAGAGATGTTTGCCATGTCTCAGATCAGCTGTCAGCCTCTCCTCCTTCTGGACCTCTACTCTATATGGACTTTATGCACAACTCCACTACTTAGGAGAGCTCTTTTGTTTCCTGTCTTTTTCTACTGGAAGAACTGATTAATCCAGGTGTGCCTGACCTCAGTAACCATGGCCAGACACACCTTGATTAATCAGTTCATTAAGTGATGAAAAACGGGAAACAAAAGAGCTGTAAGTTCAGGAAGTAGTCGAGTTGTGCATAGAGCCCACTCACTTGTTGCTGAGATGCCTCTTGGGGAGTTGAGAAGATGGTAGGGGCTTTAAAATAATTGAGCAGAACAGATCTTGAACATTGTCTGGCTGGTTCTTCTTATCTATCTATAAGCAGTCAGCAGGCATTTTAGCTGTTTTTTTCACAGCCAATACAGAATAGAAGACAAAAAGGAATTTTCAGTTCCTGCACCAGTTTCTTAACTTGAGTTGGACACTAAGTCAGTGTAACTAACCTTTTTTGTTAGTTTCCAACATCTAAGAACTGTAAATGTGATGGTAACTCTCCACACAGTTTGTAGTCACAGTATAAAATGCTGCGTGATCCCCTTGCTCCATTTCCAAGGAGCTTTTAGTCTAAGATAATACACACAGTCATTTCAAGTTCAAAGTTAAGCCCGAAAGATGAAGGGCCGTGTTCGGTTGGAGGTCTAATTTTTTTCATATGCAGATCAGCGGTGGTTAAGGAAATCATTTTATTTGTAAAAAGCTGCCAAATCCAGAGGCAACATGTGTTGGGCAGAAGTTTTACAGATGGGGGCATTCAGTAGGATAGAAATCACCAGTGAAGGTGCCCAGAAATAGATGCTTTGCTGATGGATTAAAGGAAATGTGCACCTGCTGTGTAGGAAGTGCATCAGAAATTATACCTTCTTTTATGTTTGTTAAACATTCCACATCAGGGGCAACTGTCCAACAGCCAGCATTTCAAGTCACTATGCCCTCAATCCTATATAAAGGTGGATGAGCCTAGATGATCATATTCAGAGGCCTGCTAGCACAATAGGTAGATGTCACAGTGCCCTAAAAATGAAAACCACTGGGTAACTTAAGGTGACCACTGCAATGCCTCCAGTTCTTTAGGACAAATGTGAAGTTAGAACTCTGCCAAAAGTGCATATACTTGATAGATACTCATAAGAGCAGGTTTATTTAAAGCACATGTGCATGAACTAGTCTCCAGGTGCATTTTTGAATGTTTTATGCGTGCAGATTCAGCACCATAAGGCCCCACTATATCACAAGGAGGAGTGCATGCTCCTCTCTGCGCTCGGGGCTTGCTTTTAATGCATTAGTTTTGCTGTTGTTTTTTCTTAGCTACAGCTAGTAACATTAGCAAAGCATCTTCAGGTATTAAAGGGGTCATAGAATGATTCTATAGGGTATTTGGTGCTGGTCCTTAAGGTCTCTGGGTCAATAGGGTCTCTTTTGTCAATAGGGTGTGTAACATTGGCTGGGCTGAAAATGGCACATTTGCTCTTCTATGAGCCCTAATGCAAACCTGGTTGTAAGCCCTAGAATAAAACAGGTTTTCTTCCTTTTATGGCATGCTCATTAATATTTAGATGAACTGTGCGCTGTTTGGTTGTTTTACAACGAGCGAAGCTTCTGAGCAAAGATGCATTATAGCAACAAGCACTCACTCACTGAAACATCAAATTGTTGATAGGTAGGGTGACCAGACATGTCCTCTTTTCCATGACATATCCTACTTTTGATACCTAAATAAATGTCCAGGGGGAATTTCAAAATCGTCCGGAAATTTTTTCAACTACAGTGCAGCAGAATCAAGCAGTGAGGCTGGTCCGGGAACCCCAGCGGACGGTAGCAGGGAGGCAGCGGGGTACGGAGCGACCAAACTCGACCTGTTGACGGTAGCCTGAACACCGCCTGAACACCGCCTACCTTATCAGCCCCCCTCCCCCGGCCTAGCAGTCAACACTTCATACCCCCCCCCTTGGTTTCCAAGATTTGAAGACGTTTCGCCACCTCTCCAGGAAGCTTTCTCAATTCAAATGTCTGGATCCGCAGTGAGTTTGAGTCTTATATAGACAAAGCCTTGTATCGCTTGGAAATATGCAAATGGTAACCGATGAATGGGTCGTTTGGTTTGGTTGGTGGTTTCAGATATTACAGGCTAACGATGGAACCAAACGACCCATTCATCGGTTACCATTTGCATGTTTCCAAGCGATACAACGCTTTGTCTATATAAGACTCAAACTCACTGCGGATCCAGACATTTGAATTGAGAAAGCTTCCTGGAGAGGTGGCGAAACGTCTTCAAATCTTGGAAACCAAGTCCAGTGGATATTTTTTGAATTTTTACGGAATGACTATGACCTGGATGACTGAGAACCTACATCACCATGTTAGTGATATGTTGGGGAGGCTGACAGTATTAGCTCTACAGACATAAAACATAAAAACATTTCTGTGGAGAGTAGTTTACGTGTCTGTGCTTTCAAAAAAGGTGCTAGCATCAGTATTCACACTGCAAAAATTTTAATCTCTGTAAGTAATTTTTTCTAAAATGAATTACATTTTTTCTTGATTTGAGTGAGCGGGTAAGTCAGGCACTTTGCCAGTGCAATAAGACGATTTACATTTAAAATAAGAAAAAAACTTCAGTCTCTTATTTTAAGTGTTTAATATCTTATTATCTTATTTTAAGGCTAAAAATAGTTATTCTGTTCGCAGATCATCTTTTTTTACTAGTTTTAAGATCATTTTTGCAGTGCACTACATGTGTGCACTTTTGGCCAAATTCTGAATTCATAGACAGACAAAATAAGTACAAGATGCTCAATCTGTTCTCTGAGCACCAAAATAAATCTTATTTCTTGACTTGAAACAAATTATTGAAACAAAAATTGCAGAAAGACATACAAGGATTACCGATGGCATTTACTTTTCAGAGATACAGGTATGACTCCTCTCACAGGATGTGGTGGGACCCTGGTCAAACACCATGATTCTACTTGTCCTGTCCTCTGTCCCCCACCTGTGTAATATTAGTAGTTTCCAAGTCTCTTTGTCTTCCCCATACCAGCATTCACTCGAACAGCGTATGCAATCTAGGTCCGCAAATAACATCTGTGGGTGTTAATGCCTAATAAAATACAATAACTGCATGACTGCTGTAGGTCAAATCTCTGCTGGTATATAACTGAGAACGTGGCAAACTTTTGGGACAGGACACCAGCTAACAGCTTTATTCGTTTGTTCTAATATTACAATGATTGGATATAGTCACATGACCATCCATTATGTGGAACCATTCATTCTAGTACAGGCGTAGTTGAGAATTTCCTGTAAAATGCATATCTAATACATACTTTCACTAATGTCTGTTGCATTTGCTTCCTCCTCTCAGGCCGTGTGACCCCCGAGCAGCTGTGTTCCTACGTTAAGTTGTTCAGGACGAATTGGGAGGCATTAGAGAGTCACTGTGGGGTACTTCAGCTGGGCTTGGCCACAGCCCAGATGCTCCGACACCCGAGCTTGGCCCGCTGGGATTCCTGTCTGGCTTTCGAAAGGCTGCTGCTCCAGGTGTGTGCTTATCTTATACAACCTTACTATCCATATGTTACGCACAATAAAGGCTTGGGAGTCCGCCAGTCATAAATAGAATACCTCCTATGACAGATTTATTTTCAGTTTTACAGTCCCGCTAAGTATACATTGATTCCTCATGACCAGAATATCAGATTGATTTGGGCTTTTACGATTCTTTTGAACTGTTCTTATACCAGAGCAGTTAAAACTACAAAGATTATTTTAGAAATAAACATAAGGTGCTGAAAAACTTCAAACAGAATCTAAGATGTACATACAACTTCAAAAATAAATAATTTCTTATTGTGTTTTGCAAATTCTGGACACATATCTGGCTATATTTGTAACCATTCTCCTTATCATAAATTACTAGATTCAACAAATCTAGTAATTTACTACATCAACAAATTGGCTTCCACCATGCTTTACAAGTTGTACAATCCTCTAAGGTTTTAAAGCTTCAGCTCAACATCTATAAACAATGTTAATTTTGGCCAAAAATCCTATTCTTTGTCTTTTTATGAACACAAACATTTTCTAGTCCATATGGTTAGGTGCAGCTTTGAGCCATGTGTGTCTATCCGGGACTTATTTCTTGCTCTCTATGCCTTTTCAGTCCTCTGGATTATAAATTTGGCTTTATAATAAACCAAAACAATGATGTTTCAGGAGTTTTTAAGTGAGGCCAGCCTTTTGGTTTTCTGGTTTTTGGTGTAATGTCTTTGCCATCCTGATTATGCTCATTTTGCCAAAGTTTATTTTTAAATCAAACACAACTAATAAAAATTCCATTTAAGCATCAAACCAGCTTTAAAATTGGTTTTATGTTTGAGTCAGTGACAAAAAAAAGTATATATACTTTGACATTCCTAATAGCAAAAGTACGCATGCTGAGACATTTTTCCCCACAATAAAACTGCAGCTTATATTGAGCTTATATGTAGCTATTTTACACAATGTTAATTAGAAAACATCTACAATAAAGTAAAAACTCTAATGCCCATTCTTATTTTGCATGGACTTTATATCAGATACAGACAAACTATATTTAATTTTAAATTATGTTATAAGTCTCACTCATATTGATCATAATGTGAAACGTTGAGCGTATTAATGTAAAAAAAAACCTAAACAGGTAAGTGGCGGCTTTTCAACATGGTGACCAGAAATGTTGAATTAACATCCAGGGCTTTCCATCCTGCATAAACAAAGTCCGTTTTGTTTGCGTGGAAAACATTCAGATCCTATAAACACAGCAGAAATGACAGATTTCTCCCTCTCAACCTGAAAGCTGTGAAGTCCAGAAAAGGAAAAGCAGAAGCCCATTTTCACAAGGAAGGACGTACACGTGCGTTCGTCTCCTGAAAGGTCAGAGATCAAGATACACTATATTGCCAAAAGTATTTGCTCACCTGCCTTGACTCACATATGAGCTTAAGTGACATCCCGTTCCTAATCCATAGGGTTCAATATGACGTCGGTCCACCCTTTGCAGCTAGAACAGCTTCAACTCTTCTGGGAAGGCTGTCCACAAGGTTTAGGAGTGTGTTTATGGGAATTTTTGACCATTCTTCCAGAAGCGCATTTGTGAGGTCGCACACTGATGTTGGACGAGAAGGCCTGGCTCTCAGTCTCCGCTCTAATTCATCCCAAAGGTGTTCTATCGGGTTGAGGTCAGGACTCTGTGCAGGCCAGTCAAGTTCATCCACACCAGACTCTGTCATCCATGTCTTTATGGACCTTGCTTTGTGCACTGGTGCACAGTCATGTTGGAAGAGGAAGGGGCCAGCTCCAAACTGTTCCCACAAAGTTGGGAGCATGGAATTGTCCAAAATGTCTTGGTATGCTGAAGCATTCAGAGTTCCTTTCACTGGAACTAAGGGGCCAAGCCCAGCTCCTGAAAAACAACCCCACACCATAATCCCCCCTCCACCAAACTTTACACTTGGCACAATGCAGTCAGACAAGTACCGTTCTCCTGGCAACCGCCAAACCCAGACCCGTCCATCAGATTGCCAGATGGAGAAGCGCGATTCGTCACTCCAGAGAACGCGTCTCCACTGCTCTAGAGTCCAGTGGCGGCGTGCTTTACACCACCGCATCCGACGCTTTGCATTGCACTTGGTGATGTATGGATTGGATGCAGCTGCTCGACCATGGAAACCCATTCCATGAAGCTCTCTGCGCACTGTTCTTGAGCTAATCTGAAGGCCACATGAAGTTTGGAGGTCTGTAGTGATTGACTCTGCAGAAAGTTGGCGACCTCTTCGCACTATGCGCGTCAGCATCCGCTGACCCCGCTCCGTCAGTTTACGTGGCCTACCACTTCGTGGCTGAGTTGCTGTCGTTCCCAAACACTTCCATTTTCTTATAATACAGCTGACAGTTGACTGTGGAATATTTAGTTAGGAGCAAGGAAATTTCACGACTGGATTTGTTGCACAGGTGGCATCCTATCACAGTTCCACGCTGGAATTCACTGAGCTCCTGAGAGCGACCCATTCTTTCACAAATGTTTGTAAAAACAGTCTGCATGCCTAGGTGCTTGAATTTATACACCTGTGGCCATGGAAGTGATTGGAACACCTGATTCCAATAATTTGGATGGGTGAGCAAATACTTTTGGCAATATAGTGTAGTTGAGGGGAGGTGGAGTAATAGGAATAAATCAAAAGTCAAAGTGCACACAGTAACCACTAGTTCCTTACCTCTTGTTTTATTTTCCCAGCAGCGACCTGGACATATTTTGACTCTCCTACAGAAACCAACAGTCAGAGTGGCACGAGACTAATAGTGAACTAATGCCACAGCCATTTCCTCACTCATCTACTTCATACTTTTTCATTGAGCCTTTGTGCATTCCTGATTCATAAGCAGAGCATTGGGTCTTCACTGTATTCAGAAACTTATTAAACTATATCAGGGAAAAATTAAACAGACTCTCGACCATGGCCAAGATGGAATTTGAAAACAACATCTTAGCCTCCCTGCTCAGCTAAATCCACTAATTTATTAAATGAAGGAAAGTGACTCGGGGGCTTTTACTTCCAGAATTTATTTTCTTAAGTCTTACTTTGATCCGCTCCCCCATGGTTGTCTAGCATACCTGGATAACTCAGAACAACTGTCCAACCGCACATTTTTAGCTCTGCTTTCATTATTTGTGAGAACAGGCATGAATTTCATGTGAAGGTAAGACTGAATCCTGTCAGGTTTAAAATAGTTGCATTGAACTTGTATATAGTAGTAGATTTAAATGACTTGTATTGAATTCCAGAAACATATTCACACAAAAAAACTGATCTCAAAATGAGGCTATAAGAGCAATATGAGGGCTTTTGCTTGCAATCAAAACAGCTTGAGTATTATTAATGTATTAAGGGAAATGAGTTGTGTGTCCCCTCTGCCCTTTCTGTTTATTTCATTTCCATGTGTTTTTTTTGGCTTTGGTTCACCATGAAGAGAGAGAGAGAGAGAGAGAGAGAAAGACAGACATTAATTACAGTAGAAACTGGCTAGATGAAAAGCCTCCCAGACATGGCTGGCGGTCGAGCTGTGTTTGCTCTGCCTGAGTGTGTGTGAGGGCTGCTGTGGGGACGACCGACCAGACCTGGACTCTCCGTCGCTTCTTGGACAGTTTAAGTCCCTCCGCGCCAACTCCTGTGGGGAACCTCCAGGCCTTGAAGTAGGCTGTTGTTACAAAGAGGTGTGGGGCTGCTGAGTTCAGAGTCTTTAATGATCTCATTTTATCCCCTTTTGTTTATTTTTAATGAAAGCACAGAATAAACATAGAGGTATTTCATGTCAAAGCGAATGATCTGCAAGTGCAGCTTGGTGAGTGTCAGCATGGTCTCTCTGCTTTGGCATTATATTTCTAATGTAAGAAAGGAATTGGTTGTTGAGTTTCCCACTTATAGTTTGACTTCTTAGACCACTAGCCTAGAGATAGACCGATACATCAGCAAAACCACTTAAATTTTGGGCTGATTTTAGTGGTTATGCATCGGCCAACAGGTTTGTAGATTCATTACTGCATTAAGCAGCCGTGCCTTTAGATCATGTGAAGTATATGCGTTGTCCCACCCTCATTTAGCTCTCCCTTGTTTATGTTTGGTCTGATTTTATACAGTAATCTCATTTTGTTTAAATTGTGATTTTTCTCACATTTATTATTATTGTCTTCTATGTATCATGTTAATAGAGAAAGAAAAAGTAATATCGTCTTCAAATATCAGCCCAAAAAATTAACAGCACAATAGGGGTGTAAATCACATCCATCATGGCAATTCAATTCAGTATCGATTTCCTGACCCAACGATTCGATTATTTTCGATACTCAAGAATACACCACGATATGATTCGATTCAATTGGATTAATCGGTTAATTTTTTTTTTTTTTTTTTTTACACCTTACAGGCTAAACAAAGTTTAAAGTTTGAAATACATTAATGAAAGCTGTAATATCGTTATGTTTTTGTTTTTTTGTTTTTTAGAAACAACAGCAAATAACAGAAGTAGAAAAGTTGCATCAAAAAATACTGCAAAAATACTGCACATAATCAGTGCAATAAGTGCAATGCAATTCCTCGGCTCCAGACGTCCCCGCCTCTCCCAAATTGTAGCTGACCGCAAACAGTGCTGCAGACAGGAGGCCGGCTTGTTTTGTTTTTATGACCGAAATTGCGGAAAACAACTCGTGAAGTTTGACCCTCTAGAAGAGTGAGGTGCGCGAGAACGCTGGGACCCTTTTTCCACATGGATTTCCAGCTTTTTTGGCCCTCATGTCCCTACGTCGTCGGACTAAACTCGCCCCCACTTCCTCGCCGCCTTGGCCGTATCTAGACCCACAGCGTGTAGCACAGACCACGCTTCAGTATTGAGCATAAATCAAAAATATCTGTGTCAAGCTCACTGCAACACACTGCTGTAAGAGTGCGGTAGGAGGGCAAAATAGGTTTAGCGCCACCGCAGCAGGGGAGGGAGAATTACGTCTA